TTTTCCAGTGACTTCAGTTCAAAGCAAAGCGTTTGGCGAACACGATCAGAACAAAAATTCCTGAATTTGATAGAGCACACAAGGTTCAACTGGTCAACAACATCCGATGCCTTAGCGACAATCAATAACAGTTCCGTAAGCCTGAAGTTACACTCCTCAATGTGCGACTTGGCATATCGTTTTAAATTTTCGGCAGTTGGACGAATGTTTTCACAACGCAAGCGCTTGCAATAAGTGATTGGATAACGATCCCGTTCAATGCATTTCAACAAGAACTCAATTCTTGTTCACTGGACAGCAATCTTGCATCTCAGTCTGACGATTCAATTCTTGTTCTCCGCCTATGATTCTGTTATTTACTGACCATATATTAATGATCACATAGACTGCAGTATGCACGTGTACAGATGCAGCGACATGATCCAGGATACATTGTGCAAACCTGTTTTTTGGCTTCTATATTCAAATTCGTTACGGGGAACCTATGCTTCCAATTTCTCAAACGTCGTCTCCCCGTGACTGTGATCAGGCAGTTAAACGGAGTCGTCAGACTGAGGTGAAAGATTGCTGTCCAGCGAACAAGAATCAAATTCAAGAATTTTTATTCTGATCGTGTTCGCCAAACGCTTTGCTTTGAACTGAAGTCACTGGAAAATTCACTGAACCACGAACTAATGGTATCATCGTTCCCCAAAGACCTGAGCAAATTTGTGTTAAACATGTCTTCATGTAAGCTCAGTCGTTTACAACTTGGATAGTTATCGTTGTGGGCTCAACTACTGTGTTCCACCACGGAAGTCTAACCGTATGGATTCTCAAGCGAAAATGGAAGCCTTTTTCGACAATTTCTCAACCCTGCAACCGACAAATGAAGATACCCTTGGCTGGTTCAAAGCAAAAATGGTGGATATAGAACATCAATACCGAACAACATCAATGCGGCAACGTACAATACTGACTGAAGCTCACTTTAGGGCTCTGAAGGAAATAAAATCGAATGAAAAGGTGGTTGTTCTAAGTCCAAATAAAGGATCCGGTGTTGTTGTGATGGATAAGGTCTGTTATAAAGAAAAAATGCTGTCTATTTTGAATGATAAAAGCAAATTCAGAGTGGATAAGACAAAGGATGATCCGCAAGAACTGGAGAAGAAAATCAGTATCGAGCTGAAAACTTTGATGCAAGCGGGACTGATTCGGGAATCCACGGTGAAACAATTACGTCCGACCCGTTGTGTGTATGTGGAACTCGCCACAACACAAATTAGCCAAGTGGTTAGCAGAAACTCTAAAACCGGTGAGAGACTCCATTTCCCACTACAACTTGAAAGACAGTTTTCAACTGTGCACATTACTGGAAGACAGAAACATTCCAAACAAGCATATGGTAACTATGGATGTAAATGCACTGTTCACCAACAACCCCCTACTGGAGACCATCGCGATCATTCGTCAAACTATGGAAGATAAGAACATTCACGTTGGACTACCAGCAGATGAACTGGAAAGGCTTTTGTTGTTTTTTCCCCTTAATGTGAAGTTCTACTTCTTAGGTGAACGCTATCAACAGATAGATGGAGTCGCCATGGGCAGTCCTCTGGGGCCCATTCTTGTGAACATTTTCGTCGGATATCTAGAACATCAGTTGAGGTACAAAATTAAAAACTGGATCTATACTGCCGGTATGCTGATGATATATTTATCATTTGTGATGCAAAGAAAGACGGGGATAGATTATTTGAACACTTGAATAATCTCC